GTTTACAGTAGGGTTTTTTAACTGTGTTCCTGTTCAGTAGTGATCTGTTAGTCTTCCTATTGGATTCATGTACATTGAGAACCTAGGACCTAAACATTTTTTTCTTGCCTGTTTCCATACTGTAGGGATTCTATGATTCAAGAACATAAACAATAACGTGGTAAACCAGGATTTTGGCAGTTTATGTGAAAGTTTTACAAAAATATTAATTTGGAAATAATGCTTCAGTAACAATGCAAAATAATGTCTTTTTGAGGATACTGTAGAAGAGGGAGGTGTACACTTCAAAAATAATACAACAGATTGGAATACAGGTGACTGAGGATCAAGGAAAATATTAGGAAAAAAAACGAGATATACAGAAATGAGTTGCAAAGGACAGCAAGAGCGGGTTTGAAAGGATTTACAATTATGTTGATAGTAGATAGAAAGTTAAGGCACAAGCAGAACTGTTGAAAGATAAACTATCTACAGTTTTCGCAGTATGTGGCAGGCTCAATAAATTGTTCACGTCAACTCTGAGGAGGGCTAGACAAATCTCTATCATAAGAAATGATGCACATGGATTGCAGTGATTCAAAAAGGCAGCTCCCCACCAAATTATCATGGGCAACTAGCGATGGACAATAAAGGCTGGCATGCTAGTGATGCCCACATCCCAGGAGTGAATAAAACAAAATGTGTATTGTATGCAGAGGTTAGTGAAGAATAGGTTGTTATCCACAAAGCACTTTTGTGGGATATTGAATGCATCGTAGAATCCTTAAAGAATTAAAAAATTAGGCGGCATAGTGGTTAGCACTGCTGCCTCAAAGCGCCAAAGACCCGGATTCGATTCCACCCTTGGGCAGCTGTCTGTGTGGAGTTTGCACGTTCTCCCCGTGGCTGCGTGGGTTTCCTCCGGGTGCTCCAGTTTCCTCCCACAGTCCACAGATGTGCAAGTTAGGTGGATTGGCTTTGCTAAATTGCCCGTAGTGTTACATGCAGGTTATATGGAAAGGGTAAGGAGATGGGTCTGGGTGGGATGCTCTTCGGAAGAGCGGTGTGGATTTATTGGGCGGAATGGCCTGTTTCCACACTGTAGGGATTCTATCATTTTATCAAGATATTATGACACTGTGTTTGATATTTTTGGTGCTCTTTAAATATTTGAGCAGTAGTTGAGCTTTGGAAGAATGGCAAACGTAATTCTAATGTTAACAAAAATAAAGACATGAGTCTAGCACATCACTTCACACATCCATAATAGGAGAGAAACTTTTGGGCATTTTATTCATACCAATGAATGTTTAAAGTACACTCTGAGGTTATCGGGAGTTACCAAGTAGGTTTAGAAGAGACAGACCAGGCCATACAAATATACAGAAATTCTTGATGCAAGAAGTTAAGTTAGTGGAGCAAGATAATCCAGGTCAATGGAATTCACTTGAGTTTTTGGATGTCTGATATTCTTCTTGATTTAAGTTTTAAGCAGGATATAGTAGGCTAGTAAAATATTTAATAGATTTGTCTCAATGTTTTGAAAACCAGCCTGGGCACAAATGAGGCAGATTGAATGTATTTTGCTTAGCACTAAAGAATGGTGTTTGCCATTCATTGTGCTTTTAGATACCCATAGGAGTTTTGTGAGATTTTGCATGGCAATTTACAGTCATCTGGAGTCTGAAACAGCACAGCCCCCTTCTGCAGAGGATCTGGGACTTGTGAACAGAGCAAGCAACAGCATGTCTCTTCACTCCAGCAGATTGAAAGATGCAAACCAAGGTGTGCACAGTCAAAACCAGAAAATGTAAGTTTAGATAATTCAATGTTTTAACAAAAAAAGCAAGTGAAATAGAGAACAGAAGATTGATTGAAAAAAAGATAAGAACTAAAAAGCAAAAGTCTTTATTCAATTCAAATCTGAACGATTAAGACTCCAGATTTTTGTGTTTGCAGTGCCAGTGAAGTTGATTCTTAGCAATGAAGATTTAAAATGTTCAAATTCATTTACACTTGAATGGACAAGCCATAACTCTGGCATGTCTGTAGCAGAGCTTGCGGTGAAGCTGATCAATTGGACAACAAGTGCAAGACTGGACACTGAAAGTTGCTGTCTAATTTTACTCAACAACAGTGAGGGTTGATAGTCCTGCTGTTATTCCTATCACAAAATCCAAATCATTGAAAAGAGCCTGCCTGATTTGTTTTACTGTTTTGTTATGCACCCACTTATTACCCTTTTGGGGAACAATGGGCCAAAGTAGCGGAAGGAATTACTGGTTGATTATCAGCCCATTGGACTGCTTCATTGTGTGGCCAACAAAACCCTGGTGGTCATATGAACCTGGAGCTTTTGTTGTCCCTGGAGAAGTAGCGACACAACCATTGTACTATATGGCCTCTGAAAGCTCTCCCCAATATTCCTACTGCAAAATCCAAAACAATGGAAAGAACTCATGGGCAAATGTGACTATTACCCTTCCTACTTACAATATTAGGACAAGGTGTGAATAGCATAACATTTGTTAGCACCTAGATCTGTTTACAAATTATGAGTAGAAATAAGATAACCATTATCTTTAAAGAGACTTAAACATGAGCTGATATAGGACACTTGTATGTAAATTTGAATAAATGTAGTACTGCATCATGGCACAGGTAACTGTCATTGTGTATAAAATGAAAATGTCTTTGGCGGAGACCATCCTAAAATGATTCACATGATTATTAATCATTAACTGTTAAATTGGTCAGTGTGAGGCAGTTATTCACAACCACAAACCAGATACTGGTCTTCATTTGAATGACATTGGATTGCAAATCAGAGCATGTTAGGCTGAAAAATGAATAATGAGATCTTTTCAGGATCATTTGACTGTTTAACTAGTTGAAGTTATGTTTTGGCACCATCTTAACTCAAAAGTTGTATTCAAAATGGCTTAATTGACAATGACCAAGATTATTCTATGCCTTGGGGACAAAGTCTTGAAATGTAGCTTAAATAACTGAACTTTGAAGGTGTCTTGAAATAATGATAATTTTAGATGAATTGGAAGTAAGTAAGCTATTCATTTTGGACAGTGAGCATGTGACATAATGATACCGGAATAAAACTGAGGAACATTAAGGGTAGGGACAGAACTTCTTATCTCAAAAGATATATAGAATTAGTGCCTAGAGAAGGTAGTCATTTTGAACAGTTGAGATCTTTAAATAGAAGTTAGATCAATAAGTTTTAAAAAAAGCAGGATTGAGAATAATTGAGCTGTTTAGATTTTGCTCAGTTTATGAAGTGGATATGGCTATGGATTAATATTTACTGACATGATCAATGGATGATATCAAAGGGTACTCCTTGATAGAATAAACATCTATCTGCTCTTGCGGTCTTGGTGGATGGAATGCCCTTTCCCATGGATCTTACATTAACTGCAAAAGTATGATGATATATTAGCAAAAAAAGTGTCCCTTGGATGTTTATTTTTAGTATCCTTTTAGACATTTAATATTCTTCCTTTAGGTCTCTATACTCCATTCCCCATCAAGAAAACATATATAGGTAGCTTGCTGCCAGGCTTCTGCCAACGTTGTCTTGATCTGGCTACCGGGACGCAAGTGACAGCAGCTTGGGGTGACATCCAGTGTTTGTTCCGTTTTGAGAAAGTGGCAAATCTCCTGTAGGGATCTACCCCTGATGGCATGACTGAAATTGGGAATTTACCATGTCGGAATTGTGGCTGCAGATACTTGTTACCACCTCCCGCTCTCCCCCCCCCCCCCAAAAAAAAAACAAAAACTGATAATGCACATAATCACCTGTTTTGCGTGTTTTTGATGGTGATAGGTTTTTTTTATTGTAAGCTACTTTGACCTTGATGTTGCTTGTACAGATCGTATAATCTTTAGTATGTACTTATAGATTGGTCTTTAACAATGGTAAAACGTACAATGTTGGCACATAATCACTGATTTGACTTTTACAGGTTAGTCAACAGAACTGAAAGTAGAAAATAATATTTTGAGCAGAATAACCTTTCAAGGAATTTTTGTCGAATATTTTTTGTCAAAAATTGGAAATAGTGGTTTTACTATTACATACAAAATGTGATGGATAGAGTGTAGGTGGCTGTAGATCAACTAAAGTCACCTTGTTTAAAGAAGTTAGTGGTTAGCTATTAGCAACTCACATTGCTATTAAATCTCCAGCAGCCTAAGGTAATCTTCTGGTAAAGCCTAAATTGGATATTGTTGCTTATTAAATGCCATAGCTACATGTTGCAGATACATTACTCTATAGAGTTTTGTTTTCAACTCCAGAGTCATTATTGTTGTCATAACCCAGAAATAAATTTTCCCTCATTTTAAAGCAAGTAGTCTTAAATGGCAATAAAATTATTTTCGAAAAATGGCATTTAGATGGGGGTTTGTTATTAATTTGAAGAAAACATTTTTAAAAATGTGTTTTCCATTAATATTCTCTTGGTTTTATCTATTTCAATTGATCTAATTTAATATTTATGTGCAATTAATGTTCACAGTATTGAAAGTGTTGCTGAACCTAGCATTACTAGATCGTTGAACCAACATACAGCGTTTGAATGGTAAAATTCACAAATGTTTCAGGCTCCACTGATGAAGTTAGTTCCCATATATAGTTCGGTTCAGAACACCAGCTCAGTTAATCTTGGTGGTGTTCATTCTCCGTCACTTGCTAGCACAGGAGCCTTAATTTCACATCTACATTTTTGTAGCTCTTAGTAACTCTGAAATGTTTCTATGTTTTGTCATGATAGGAAAAGCTCGATTGGAGTCAAAAGTGAAATTGGGCAAGTGAAATGGTTTCAGTTGGAATCTAGGGGTTGGGAAAGAGGAAAACATTAACTTGGTTTTTTTCCTGGTTCCATAATGGAGATATTTAATTTAAACTCAGTGCCAGTTGGCCCAACAGCTTATAGAAGATTTATTGACCTCCTAAGTTTCTGATGTTTTATAACTGTTCCTATAATTGTTTTATGCAGTAGGTGATGTTGGGGAGAAGCTGGACCAGATGGGAAATGCACCAATAAAAATAAGCACTGATATTGAGCAAGATGATTCTTCCAAAGAAGATGGGTTTGGAGCTGAGGTCATCAAAGTGTATATTTTTAAAGCTGAACCAGAAGATGATGTGGAAATAGGTAACTATTATGGTTTAATAATGTGTGCAGTTCAATCTTTTTTTAAGAAGTTACACTATCTTACCTCCTGTATCAATTTTACAGTGGACCGAAGGTGAACCAAAATACATTTAAAGGTCAACCAGCATATGAGCGAACAATAATTGGGCAAATTTTCATAACTATTTTAGCCAGAGTACTGTGGTAGAAAAAAAGCTCAACTGCCTCTTCATTAGAAACATTCATACTACTGACTGGATTCTTCCCTAATTTTAATGAACACTGGAACTGAAATCCAGAATCCATTTATTTTCCATGGCAATGACCAATCTCTATCAGATGATATCCATGGATCCCATTCCATGCTGTGGTGAATGGGAAGCCTGATTGAAAATTTAGATCCACAATGCTATTACAAATACAAATAGTTTACAGGTAGTGATCAGGATAATGTTTTGATCTAATCTTCGTGAAGTAGAATTTATTTCCTTGTTAATGTTCACATACCAGCAATTGTCTTCATGGGAGAAATAGCTAAGGATATAGTATATGTTTCTCTAGGGGTTTTTGTTTTTTCCATGATACTTAAACTTCAAGATAAGGAAGCACCGACTAGGAAAGTACAACACAAGTTTACACCATTTAGATTTTAGAGTGGATGTAGTGACAGAAACTTAACTTCACATACAAAATTTGCTAAAGTTGCTGCAAAGTGAGATTCATGAGTTCAGCATTCTCACTGCATACCTTGTCATGCTAATGAAGTATGTCACAAAAACTTTATTCAGCAAGCTCAGAAGAACCAAAAATGTTTGTCCAGTTTTGCTGCCCGAGTCAATTGGAGAAGTATCCCTTAGACAAGTTTTGATGCTTCCCAAAAATACATCTTTCCTGTCTAAGACAGCATTCCAAAGTAAATGGTAGGTTTTTTTGGAAAAGAAAGTACTAAAGCATTTTGGAAAACCTTTGTTCGAGAGGGGGATTTGAGGAGGGGAGAGATCATGATTTATGTGATAATCCAGTATTTGTAGGAAACTAGAAGTTTGGTGGATTTAATGGAAGAAGCTAATTTTTTTTTGGCTGTGTCCTACTTAGAATTACACATTGGCTATCTGGTAGGAAAGTAAGGAAGCTGATCTTGAAGGCACAGGCAAGGGTAATTAGTCTTGGCTTCTGGCAGTTGGGAAAGAATAAAAGGGGAAAGAATCACTGGGCACTACAAGGTATATAGCAATCCACAATGGCAGGGGGACAATTAATGGCACGTCAGACCACCACTCGGGAGGGAGGGAAATATTGTTATAGTTTTGGGGGTCAGGGCTTGTGGTTGGTGGAGTGGATTGGGTAGTTACAGTAGAATGGAGAAGCATTTCTGTTCATTTGGCTGCCTGGTCTTCAAAGTAGACCACTGTTATATTTTCATTGGAGTCACAGCTCCTCTGTGAGAGCCTGATTTAAATGTTAGAATAAACTGTTTTGTGTCTCAACCAGGATATACATGGCATGCAACTCATTGCTGACAACAAATGGGTTGGTGGCAAGTTAGGTTTGCATTATGCAACTTAAAATATTTAACCAGCCTGTTTCGGATAGGCAGGATAAAATTTCTTCCACCACCCTGTCTCTCCGAGTATGGAAAGCTGCTTTCAGCCCAGAGACAATTGGAACAGATACATAAGCAATAACACTGTGACCTGGATTATTTGCACTCAACAGTGAGTTGTGTACACCTGCCCAAGAACTTATACTGTGGTTTGCAGTTATCATTTGAAGCAGAGCAGCATCGTCTACAGAGGATCTGGAATCTGTGTGAACAAGGCCAGCAAAAATGTTTCTCGTCAACCAATCAGATTCCAGAATCCATCATGAGACCTGTAGATACTAAACCAGGTAGTGCAAGTTCAAATATTTAATTCAGTGTAACATGTACAAAAGTGAAAGAAGAAAGATGAGACTCAACGAAAATGTATTTCAATTATTTTACATTCAAGTTTTTAATCTCCTGACTTTAATTAATGAACCAAGACTACAAATATGTAAAAGTAACTTGGGAAGATTGTAACTTGGGAAATTTTACAGTTACCAAAGCTTACATTTAAAAAATTGGCCTTTTTCTGTCGTGTTAAATAGGTACATATTGAAGCTTCATGCCCATCATTTGTTTGAATGCTTTTTTTTTGAAGTGTGAACTTTGCATCTACTGAATTGAAAATTGAGCTGTCCTAGAGAAGGTTTGTTCACATTCAAGCATCCAAACTAAATTGTACAGTTTACGTCCTAATAACACTTTTCAAGCCTTTTGGTTCATTGCTTTGCATCTTGGTCATATTGTTGACAGCAGAATAATTAATGTAAGTTGTTTTGAGTTTTTCTTTAAAATCTGTTTTCTTATTTGAAGGTGAAACTGAAGTTATTACAGAGAATGACTATCAGAACGGTCACACCATAGCTGGAGTACTCGAACAAGGAAATGTTGGTAGAATGTCTCGGGAAAAGATGGTTTACATGGCGGTCAAAGACCCGGCTCAGGAAGATGATATTAGTAAGAAATTCTATGTACAGTTTCATTTAAGTGTTCATTCAAAAGCAAACTATATTTTATTTGAAAATAATTAATTTAGCCATGTTATTTGATAAATCAACCTCTGACTAGAGTTCAGATAGATAACCAAATTGTGGACTTTGTTTAACCATCTTTCAGAAAGAAGTGACTTTCGCTCTTTCTGTATGCAGTTGCATGGATATGTAAACCGAGCATCCTGGGTCCTTTGTTCAACCTGAAACGTTAGTGTTTACTGACTTGCTGTGCTCTTTTTAGAGTTGAAAGAAAGACTTTGTTAAAAAAATGTAAAAACAGAAATTAAAATAAGACAAATTGTACAAGTTTGAAAAATGTCTACATTTTAAATAGAGTTCTCTTTTAAAATGCAAGTTAACTGACTGACTGTGTCTTGCTGTGTCACTTCTATTTGTAATTTTTTTAGAATATGAAAGATGTTTGGATTAACACTTGTCAAAATTGAATAGTATAATTGCTGCTTTTGATTTGAAAGAAATTTCTAAAATTATATTTTATGAGCCTGTTATACCTATGACTCATCCATTAGAAATATCTAATTTACAATGGTTTCTGTAACCTAATATAACACTGGGTTATTTGGCACTGTCTAGATGTTTAGTGGAGGTAAAATAATTGAATACTGGAAAGTCAGTGTTGGTGTTAGTATAAGAAAAGTAATGATATTTCAGATGGAGACCCTTCATCAGAACTGCTACAGGGCAGCTAACTTTAATGGATAGGCAATAATAAGGAAAGGTGTTGAGAAAGCACAGAGGCATAAGTTTAGAGACTGTAAATGGGCTTAAAGGCATAGAACTGATGTCAGTATATTATGAAAGAGTTTGACATTTTGCGTGACATACAAATACAATTTATATTAGTTATTCGTTTGCTACTGTTGTGTGTTTATAATCTTATTCCTATACTTTCCCCTCTCTTTGTATTGCCCCGTCCTGATACAGGGCTCTGTTCTCTGGCTACACCATATGTAATGAATGAGTAGGTGTTGTGTTTTATAGTCTTTATTCTGAGATTTTTTTTTTGTATGCGGATCTTTTTTTTTCGAAAAATAAACTTGCATCATAGCCTACTTCTCAATTGAAGTGTTGGTTTATACCTGTGCACTGAATTTGAGAGAGCAACAGAACAAGACTGAATGTTAAGGTATAATGCATCAATGATAGGTAAAATAACTTGTATTTTCCAAAGGAAATTTTTGACAATGTTATTCAACTTTGTTGGCGTAAATGTGTAACTGTATTATCTGCAGGAAAATTTGTGATACATTTTCTGTTTGTTTGAAAATTGCTATGAATTATGCACTTAGCATCTAGTTTTGAACTGCTACACAGGTGTCAAATACTCAATTAGTGTAGAGCTCTCCCTACAGACCCTGACTGAATTTGTACAAACGACTTTTCCAGTGCTCACCAGTGTGCTTTCCGTTGACAAATTAAACTGCCGATTTTTAAATTTTCGTAAACTGCACTAATTGTCTAGATTTTAAATGAACAATATTGGCCGAAGTCTTATCTTCATATCATCAAAATCAAAAATCTAAATATCTTTAATGCTGAGATAAACAGCTTTTTGGAGTCTTAGGGAATCGAATAATAGCATAAGCTGGCAAGAAAGTGAAGTTAAAATCCAAGGTCAGCCAGAATTGTAGTAAATGGCTGAACAGGCTCATCAGACCATATGGTCTACTGCTGTTCTTGTGTTCCATCAACCCCACATTACCCAATCTGGCCCACTGACCCAAAACGCTCTTCTGCTGCCAATATACACTCCTTCACCCCTTCCCATGTCCTAATTGCTAGCTTGCTGTCTTGGTCATGTGCTCAGTCTTTGACGTGAGACCATTAGCTTCCATATTGAAAAGGTTTTAATGTCATGTGAAGTAGGGTCAGGTGGATTAGTGTCTTCTTTTGTCTTGACATCTTTGGCACTCAGCAGTCTTCCCCAGGGTTGGCTGCACTGACCCACTGCAGCCAGTGGTAATGCATAAAACATTGATGTTGACTGGAAGAAGCTTTATCAATTAACTTGATAAAATGTTGAATCACTTTACACTAAAATATTATTCATGATTTATTCAGATTGTGCTGATATTGCTGATGAAGTTTACATGGAGGTAATTGTTGGGGATGAGGAGGCAACAACGGTCCATGAGACACCGATAGAAGATTCTGGCATCAACAAAGCCTTTGTACCCGTCGCATGGGCTGCTGCATGTGGTAAGAAATGTGAGGCTTGGTGATTTTACACTTAGCATTTCTTTTCAAATTCAAGATTTTTTTTAAATGCGCATTCCAATATTTTAAATAGTCCAGTGAAAAGGTAGCAGAAAGACTATTCCACACAATTAACAAAGCATTGGAAAATGGTAGACTGCCAGAGATTCTAATCCTAACAAAAGGAGAAAATGTAAAAATAGCTAGAGACCAAAGGTATAATAATGAACAGTTAGTATGAATTTAAAAAGAGAAAGTCTTGTTTGACAAACATCATTGAAGTATTTGAGGACTATTACAAGGGTAATATTTATTTTTACCTTCAATAAAGTGCCACATACATTGATGAATACAGTAAGGACATGTAGAGTCAGGGCAAAAGTATAATAATGAGGGTTCTGAAGAAGGGTCCTGACCCGAAATGTCAACTTTCCTACTCCTCTGATGCTGCCTGACCTTCAATGTTCCTCCAGCTCCACACTGTGTTGACTGTGACTCCAGCATCTGCAGTTCTTGCTGTCTCATAATGAGTAGCTGTTTGTTTGCAAGAATGTAATTGGAGAGTAGGGGCAGCATTTGGTAAGTGGGGTCCAACAAAGAACGGTGCTGGAACCACAGTTGTATGCAATGTGTAATAATAAGGATCTCGACTTCAAAATCAATTATACACTTTCCAGCTTCTCTCCAGCGAGCCAGAAACTGGATGTACCCTGATGGAGGTGTGTTTGGTCTTGTTGGAAGTCCTGCACTCTGACTACATGATAATTGCTCAGAAAGTTTTTAAATTCCCAATGGGAAAATTGCCCTGCATTTGGAACCCTCTGTTAAAGTCTGCAATTCTAAATTAGAAATGAAGACTTTGGAAGGTTCTGACTTGCCTAGTGTTACCCAGGAAATATCACACATATCAAAACCTGCGCCAACACCAGGCTAACTATATAACGGAGCCACTTAAATATTCAGGTCGACCCCAGTGCCTGACCCAGTTTACCGTCTCAGTCACTTACCTGCCCATATGCCACCTGCCATTGTTCTTTGGACAGTTATCATGAACTTGCAATGTTTACTCTTTCTTTCTCCACAGATGCTGCCAGACATGCTGAGTTTTTCCAGCCTTGTCTGTTCATATTACAGATCTCCAGCATCCACAGTATTTTGAATTAATTTTCTTGTAAAACCTTAAATATTTTGAGATAATGGCAAAAATAGTCGTTTATATCCCATTCTGAACTAACTACCACAAATTTATCATTACTATCCTTGAGGACTTAAGCTGGATTCCTATCAAGCAACATATTAAGTTTAAACTCCATGCTTGTCTTAGACATAACCTTATGTTTGCAATCTCCTCACGATTTGTGTGTTCGCTAACTCTGACTAGCCTTTATTCTATTGATTCCGGAACCATTAGTGCCCTTAATCCTACTCTCTGGAACTCCTCGGCCAACTCCCTGTGCCTCTCAACCTTGAATTTCTCCAGTCAGAACTACTATAATGCTTATTTAGCCAGATACAATTCACTAGACTGTCGCTCCTAATTTCTTCTTCCATTGTCAGCATCCACTTTCCAATCTAATTCCACATATAAGCATTGTAGCAAGTTTTTCATTGAAGTTGCTGATGTAATACAGGCTCAGAAAATTCTAGCTTCCATTTTTAAATAGCATGGTAATCCTACTGAGTAATTTGTAGGTACTTGGTGAGGACAGTCATTTAGCCTACTGGCCCTCTGGATGTTGTTTAATAATGGCTGTGTCAGTAAGTTGTTACAGGATGTCTGGCACATTTAGCTCAGTGAAGGAACATGTCCCAAGAAAAAAGGGGATTAGGGAAAAATTGAAGTACTTTTATTTTTGTTCATTGGTTAAAAAGATTATTTGATTTATGATTCATTGCATCCTTACATTGAACCACATGAACCAGAATTTTGGAAATCTAAGCATAAGTATAGAATAGATTATAATATAACCGATGGGTTCAAGATCGACTCTCTATTTCTTTGCTTCATTATGCCCTTCTTTCAGCACACACACACACTCCCCCAATCTTGAAGAATTACTGTGTATGTGTATGTAAGCTGCATGAACCTGATAGCCAATTATTTCACCTCCCATATTGAAACCGAGAGTCTGGAATATGTTGAGAGCTTTCTATACTTTGGCGGCCACCTCTTTCAAAAGATCACCGTTGTCAAGAAGATCCAACACTGGATTAGCTATGCTAACTCAATCTTCTATAAATTATGGCAATGACTGTCTTAACAAGAAAGACCTTTGTAAATCAATAAAAGTCCTGCTGTTCAGTTTTGTCGTCACCGCATCACTACTGCAGTGAGACCTGGACTGTGTATCAATGACACATAAGCCACTATAAAAATCCCAACAGCAATTCCTCTACCTTTGCTGATCCTTTAGATTAATAAAGGAAAAGCCACCATTTGCAGAAAGAAAAGAATCTTTGATATTAATATGTTCTGCAAAATATCTGAATATATAAGATGCATTGTTATGAAATATTTATTGATATTAGTTCTTTAGGTTACTGTCTTTCAAAATTGCATTGTTTCCCTCAAGGTAACAATTTTGAGACAAAGATAGAAAACAAGAATGGCACTTCAAGTCAGTTCCTACAAATAAGTGATAGCACAAACACTACCAGAGTGCTGAAGCAAAAAGCAAGGAAAAAGAGGCGGGGTGATGGCAGACAGTGGCATACAGGTAAGAGTAGTTACTCATTGGGAGTCAGTGGGCTTTTTCTGTACCATTTAAAAGCAAGTGTTTCAGTTGAACGTTTTTCTCAGATTTCAATGAGAATTAATGTTTCAAAGCAGACTGTACATTATCCAAAATCAGTACTTACTCATTGAACTTGATTGTTAAAATAGTAAAGAATTTATTAAGCCAAGAGATAAGTAAGACTTAATAATGTGCATTTAATAGCCTAGAACAAGATGACTTAATTGCAACACCTAACTGAGGTTGAGTCTACAGTAAATGATGAGTGTGAGAAATGGAGAGGAATGCCAACTACAAAGTAAGCAACCTTAAGAAAGAATTTAGTCTATAGATGGAGAAAAAAACAGAGCCAACCATGGGTCTGTAAATTGGATTTAACAGGTCATTTATTACGTCTCTCTGTGAGAGGATATAATTAGATCTATCTTTGTAATCTGTACTCTGTGTGTACATTGGGTCATTGGGTTTCTCTGAGTGCAAATACTTTTCACCAGGAGAAAATTAAGGATGTTTGTCTTCAAATGTTAGTTATTCATGATGTCTGGCACTGTGACATTATCCAAAAAGCATTTTTCATATTACTGTACAGTATACAAGGCATGCCCGTTAAAGACTGTCAATTTAATTACTCCAGCTAGAAAAAATTTCATTGATATTTCTTGCATTTTCTTGTATGCCTGTAAATGTTCCCCATGGGGTCCTTGCAAACAAATCTAGCAGGCATTAGGCCTTTCTCTGAGATGCGAAAATGGCCATTTTTCACTTCTTTTGGTTGCAAATGCGAGTTCTTCCTCTTTTTTTGCAGCGAAATTAGACGTGATTACAACATGATTAGGAAGATCAAAAACCAGCCTATTTTGTAGGTTAGTTTCATTTTCAAGCAATTTATTTTGCTCCAAGTTTATAGCTCCTAGAATCCTATCAGTTGTTTAGCCTATTTTCATTTCTCAAACAGCAATAATATAAAGATTGCATTCTTTTTGTGACATGAACATAGAACATAACAGCGCAGTACAGGCCCTTCGGCCCTCGATGTTGCGCCGACCTGTGAAACCAATCTGAAGCCCATCTAACCTACACTATTCCATTATCATCCATATGTTTATCCAATGACCATTTAAATGCCCTTAAAGTTGACAAGTCTACTACTTTTGCAGGCAGGGCATTCCACGCCCTTACTACTACGGAAGGTTAGGAGCGATGGTGAATACCCAACAGGAGGTGGGGTTGGGGGTGGCAAGTAAGGGAACATGGTGCAAAATAAGATGTGGGCAGCAGAGTTTTGGAATTGTGATTGCTTCTATTTGCCAGGAATAGCTAAAGCAACAAACGATCCTCTGCTACAGGGAATGTCCTCAGTATTTACTCAAAGCACAGAAAGTATTTGACAGAGTGGATACCAGATAAATAGGCAGAATAAGTATATATTCTAAGATTTTTCAGCACATTGTGTAAATGCTGGTAGAGAAATCCACAGTTCACAATAACATGAAGAAGATGAAGGAAGAAAGCTTGCTCATCACTTTTTTTTTATTGTTTTTTAAAGCTGTCATCATAGGTCCTGATGGACAGCCCATAACAGTATACCCATGTCACATCTGTGGAAAGAAATTTAAATCCAGGGGTTTTTTAAAAAGGCACATGAAGAACCATCCTGAGCAGACCACTAAAAAGAAGTATCAGTGCACAGACTGTGACTATACAACAAATAAAAAAGCAAGTTTTCATAATCACTTGGAAAGTCACAAGCTCATCAACAAAGGAGAGAAAACATATGAGTACAATGAGTACGGAAAACGATTTGCTCAGGCAGGAGCACTAACTGCTCACAAACTGGTCAGTAGGGAAAAAGAAACTAAAATGCATAAATGTAAATTTTGTGATTATGAGACAGCCGAACAGGGTCTTCTCAATCGCCACCTGTTGGCAGTGCACAGCAAGAATTTTCCACACATCTGTGTGGAGTGCGGAAAGGGATTCCGTCATCCATCAGAACTCAAGAAACATATGCGAACTCACACAGGAGAGAAACCGTACCACTGCCAGTACTGTGAATACAGGTCTGCTGATGCGTCTAATCTGAAGACCCATGTGAAAACTAAGCACAGCAATGAGCTGCCATACAAATGTGACCACTGTCCTCAAACATTTTTGGATGACAAAGATCTGCAGAAACATGCCACTTTATTTCAGGCACATAGGACCCATCAATGCCCACATTGTGACCACAGAAGCTCCAACTCTAGTGACCTTAAACGTCATATAATATCTGTACACACCAAGGAATTCCCACACAAATGTGAAGTATGTGATAAAGGATTTCATCGTCCATCAGAGCTGAAGAAACATATGTCAACTCATAAGGGTAAAAAGCTTCATCAGTGCAGGCACTGTGATTTCAAAATTGCAGATCCTTTTATACTTAGCCGCCATATTCTTTCAGTCCATACTAAGGACCTTCCTTTTAAATGTAAAAGGTGTAAGAGAGAATTTCGACAGCAAAGTGAGCTTAAGAAGCACATGAAGACGCATAGTGGCAAGAAAGTTTACCAGTGTGAATATTGTGAATATAGTACTACGGACGCTTCAGGCTTCAAGCGTCACGTAATATCTATTCACACAAAGGACTATCCTCACCGTTGCCAGTTTTGCAAAAAAGGCTTCCGTAGGCCATCGGAAAAGAACCAGCATATAATGCGGCATCATAAAGAGGCTATAATGTGATGCACAGACAGGAAAATGTTTTACGCAAAATTTAATAATACATTTAATTGGCACGGCTCGTGAACTGTTTCTCCTGGTCTCAACTTGAATGTTGTTTCTCAACCTACCTTTCATTCTTTGTATTATAAGTTTTTAAAAGGTACAGGAGTTGGGAAGAGGAGTCAATTGTACAAATGTTTTAGTTTCTTCACACAATCTGACTAATAGTGTTCTGGTTTGCCATAATTGTGAAGCCATTCAGCAAGTTCTCTGTTCTTGACAACTTGACTCAAGTTTAATTCATATGCAGTTGAAAAATATTGTATTCTATGCTACTCTGTGAAACTCGTAATTAGACCTTTAAAATTGTTTCCATTTCATTGTTAATCCTGGTAAATACCTGATTTACGGAACAGATGTTAAAAATCTATTTTTAACTTTTTTAAATTCAAACATAAACCCCAATAGTGATTTTTAACAAATAGCCCGGCAGATGCAAGTACAGACCACTTTTCAAAAAGCTTAATGAAAAGACTGGTTCAGTGGATGCAATGGAACTCCTTTTGATTCACTCCTCAGTTGCTACAGCTTCCTACAGACTTATATTTTACCAAAGCAAGTGTAACTCAATGTAACCAGTGTGGATCTGTGCCATACTGTTGAGAATTGGACTGTTTTCTCTCATGGCATGAGTGATTCTGTGCATCCCTTTTCAAATACTTTTAATCTGCGGATTATAATATGGGCGTACTTTATGAATAAAGCAAGCTGGTTCAGGGCTATTTAATCGATACAAATCTTGTTTTGACATTGTTATGCATATAATGTATAGGAAGTGGTATGATGGATATAGTTTTTTAGCTGGTTACTGCTCACACATTAAATGGTTGTTCACTTTGTGAATTTTTAACTTTATTCATTGTGTTGTGGTAGTTTTTTTGTGTTTTTTTTCATATGTTGTCAATTTTTGTTTTGCACCAGATGAGAATCAGTTGCTCGAGAATTCAAAATGTTCTATTTCCAAAATACAAAATGTTAATTTAGTAATGCCTCTTAGATTTTAAAAAAAAAAACTTGTGTTTTATGTGGCTGTAAAGGTTGTACACTCTGTAAAATAAGAGATCTTTTGTCACTGTTCTGTGGGATTACTATTTCTAAATGTTCTTAATGTGATGAGTATATCAATAAACTGCATCTGTTGCACTGAAAGTTACTTTATGGTCAATTCCACAATTTCTCCTGGCAGCCGAACCACTGATTTTTGACAAATGCTTTCCAAACAATTTTATTCCCTCAGTGTTAATTTATTTAATCCTGTTGGCTGCACTGCTGTAAGAATAGTGTCGTCTCTGATTTCTCTCCATGGGTGGTGCTGGACTTGCTGGATTTTTCCAGCAATTTCTGTTTTTGTTTTGGATTTATAGCATCTGAAGTTTGGTCAGTTTTTATTTAGGTAAGCTACCCTGTGAATTGAGAAAGTAAAAATGGCAGAAAGTATTGATTAGATAATTTCTAATTACAATATTGGAAGTTTAAATATTTTTAGATTAAGGAAATAATTAGGACGGCAAAGGGTATTCGACCAGCTCCTGGGAAAGTGTGAATGTAGATTGTAATAAAGCTTAACTTCAATTGAGAACTAGGATGAAAAGGCCTAATTTAAAACATTTTAGGAAATGAGAAGGGAAAAAAAGAGGAAACTTCAGAAAAGCACTGATCATGATTTTGCTAAACTAAAAGGGGAGATGAAGGTTTGGGATGAAGAGACAGAAGTTGTGTATCCAAGCATACACTAGAGGTGCTGTTAACTTCTCACAAGGTATGGAAACTGTTCAAATTTTGGCACGTTTGAGCCAATGAAGATTTGAGTCTCATGTTCTTTGACAGCAATTAATAATATGAGAAATTAGTTGTCTGTCATAATGAGGCAGTAATCCAATCTAATGGATTGACGACATGAAAACCTATAGACATATTAAAGAAACGGCACAGAAGAGCTATCTAAATTTTCTTCATCCATCACCTCATTTATAAGGGAGAGAAAGAAATGGTGGCTAATTTGAGGGAAAAAAAAACTTTGTCAGATTTCCTAAGATGGGGATGGTTAGACCAAAGGATTTGAAGAGGTGGAAGAAACATCACCACGAATGTTCAAATTTGATTTAAAGAATTCTGTAAACTCCATTTGAAGTGAGAGGAAAACAAAAACAACTTAGATTTATATGACACCTTCAACTTAATAAAACGTCCCAAGGCACTTTATAAGAGCATTATTAAACAAGAGGGTTCAATAAGAATAGGAACTGAGAACTGACTTTTTAGATATTAATTCTCATGAAGTGAGAATCACAGCACAGCAAAGTGAACCTGAAACTTTGACTTTACCTTGCAGGATATGTACTTTTGATTGTGGAGAACAGAGAATTGTAATGGTTGTTGTGATGAAGCACAATTTAGCAATTTAAAGTTAATCAGCATAAATGTCTGTCTTTGTCACCCTTTGGTTTGAGGAAGAGAAGTGGAAATTATGACAGGAATATGTTCTAACAGTTGCAATTTAGACCCTCTTTTTCCCAAATGCATTGATTACAGTGCAAATTTGCCTGCTAATCAGAGTCCTGCCAATTTTCACTTCACTGTTGATTTCATGGACAAATCATCAAGGGGTTACTGAGTGGTTAACACCACTTAAAGCTAGCTTGCACACTTACTTAAAGTTAACCTTCATTTAAGATGATGTGAATTGTGGCTGAAGCAGGTGCTGATATTTCTGTAGGGAGTGACACTGATCTGAGAAACATTGAAGAATGACACAGATAGGATCGGAAAAGGCTCTGGAGAGACACAAGTTAGCCAGGAAGGAGCTGAAGAAAGGGCTTAGGAGAGCAATAAGGGGGCATGAGAAAACCTTGGCAGATAGGATCAAGGAAAACCCCACAGTTCCCTGAAAGCTGCCACCCAGGTGGATAGAGTTGTTAAGAAGGCGTATGGTGTGTTAGCTTTCATTAATACAGGGATTGAGTTCAAGAGCCGTGAAGTTATGCTCCAGCTATACAAAAGCCTGGTTCGGCCACATCTGGAGTATTGTGTCCAGTTCTGGTCGCCTCATTACAGGAAAGATGTGGAAGCATTGGAAAAGGTGCAGAGGAGATATACCAGGATGTTACCTGGAATGGGGGGAAGGTCTTACGAGGAAAGGTTGAGAGAGCTAGGGCTTTTCTCTTTAGAACGACGAAAGATGAGAGGTGACTTGATAGAGGTGTACAAAATGATCAGAGGTATAGATAGAGTGGATAGCCAGAGACTTTTTCCTAGGGTGGAGGTAGCTATTACGAGGGAGCATAGTTTTAAAGTGAGTGGAGGTAGATATCGGGGAGACGTCAGAGGTAGGTTCTTTACTGAGAGAGGGGTCGGGGTGTGGAATGCATTGCCGGGTAGGGTAGTGGAGTCGGCCTCATTAGGGGCATTTAAGCGGCTATTAGATAGGCGTATGGATGATAGTATATGGTAGGGGTAGAGGTTAGATAGACGTTAGGTTTAGGGTAAAAGTTCAGCACAACATCGTGGGCCGAAGGGCCTGTACTGTGCTGTACAGGTCTATGTTCTATATTCAATTCTAAAGTTGCCATTGTCCTAGAGGAGCACAGAGCTGCTGTCATTAGAAAGAATGTTAGTTTAACCTGAGGGTGAGTTCGGACCTTAATGATAACCTCAGCCAGTGTAAGAATTGAACCCATGCTGTTAGCATCTCTGTACATCTCAAACCAACCATCTGAGCCAGACACATGCCCCCACACCCACCGAATGGTTACATCTTTTATATTCACAGATTATACAGCAGACTTTGTGAAAGTCAGAGGCCATCAGTATGGACTAATCCAATGAGCTAAGCACACCCAAGTATTTAGCTGGATGCTTATCTGTATTAAAAGTAATTTGCTAATCTTAGACCCACATTCCCAATCTAAAACAAAAATCATCTGCTTCTAAATGCCTCTTCATGAATGAATGTTGTGAATAGAGGGCACCTAATATTGAAACATGAGACTGCTACATGTAACCATTCTATTGCTATCTCCTTCAATTTTTGTTTTGTTGTATGGTCCTACAGTCAGTTTGTTACCTAACTTTTCATTTCAACCCCAAAGTGCAAACTTAATTTCCTCAGGTCAGTGAAGTTTATTGACTCTCCTTGAATCATCAGTGAAGGCACTTCTTGATCAGATTTGTGAAACAATTTTCTTTAAAGCTGTGTTGGATATCCTTTATAATTCCATATTGTCCACGTGTTTGTTTATAGTACCCTTATGATATTTTCCCTTAGCTGTGCACTATGGAAAGTTGACTCGCTAGTCAATCCCGTTTTGAATAAGAACGCCAATATGTGCCCTTCTCCAATCATTTGGCATTATGCCAGATCTCTGCAGGCCTGGGTGGCACACCAGACTTTCATAATTTTATTCAGCATCCTTGAATAAATGAGGCCAGGCTTTAATGTTTCTTTTTACTTGAACTGCTTTAATTTAACTAATACTTTGAGTGCACATTCTCACACCCTACCTCCTGTAAGGACTTTATTCCATTCTCCCCAGATTTTCCATTTCTGTCACCTCTGTTCAGATATTGAAAGTTTCATACTAACATTTTATGCCTTTTGTATAAATTCAAGGATACCGTTTTTCCTAGACTCCAGTTATGTTACACACAGAAAACTCTTCCCTTCAATATTTCTCCAAGCCAGACTGCTTGAAATTAGTCGTGTAAAAGAAACTTACTTGTTGTACTAGTTGGGCATGTTGCTGTCATCTTCAAAAATATAAGGACGTAAGTTGGAGGAAGAGTAGACCATTAGGCCTCCAGAGCCTGCGCCACTATTCAGTACGATCATGACTTTGAATTCTCTCTTCACCGACTGGTTTTTGGGAATATAATGGGTGTGTATTCCTCTCAAGACTATGTCAGCGGCTCTGAAAGACCAATTGAAATGATGTTCTTCACTTGTTCATATTAATGACCCTGTTATTCAATCACTTTAGTCTCAGATAATCAGTTATTTTGTCTTCACTGTAGCTTGATATTAAAAATTCTTATGGTAAGGATTTGTAATGTTAAAACACCAATACATGCATAGTTTTTTAAAAAGTCTTCGAAGGGCACCATCATTGTGAATACCACCGCCAGGTGTTGCAACAAAGGCATATGCACATGAACACAGATCATGACAAGCTGACATTACTGCACACAATTTATTGGCGATGGCAAGTGAGGAGCAGCAGCAACCCGAGCCTGCCAGGCACAGCCTGTCAATTCCAGGATGGGCCCTAAATGGGCAGTGCAGATTCTGTCATTAGGAGGAACAATCTGGTAAAACTGGATAGAGTGGTTGATTTGCATGTTAAGATAAATGTAGTACTCGGCTCTGTAAAATTAAATCTCAGTATGTAGAATGTATAGCACAGAAATTCAACAGTTCTGTTACAGAGAAAAGCATTTAATTTGAATTTCTCAATATAACTTTCATTTGGCATGAGCCATAGAGGTGGAAATTATGCTTTTACTTCAGTAGATGCTTATTTGATGTCCCCTTCGTAGAAATTAGCATTGGCGTGAATTTTATAAATTTATCTGTTAACATTAAGCAGTGCAATGTATTCACTTGCCACAAGATGGTGAACTGGTTAAAATGGATCATACATTCCTCCATGCGGATCAAGGTCTATTTAAAATATTAGGAATATGATGTTGGAAAACATTACCGTGTGGTATTGTCTTGTCTTAAGGATAACATCTGTTACTGTCATTAAGTCTTGGCTAATTGCATGTTATGAACAGATGCATATTTGAAGTCTCTTCTGGATTTTTAGTTTCAATTTTCCCAGTACTGGAAAGCTTTTGAAATCAGTTCAATAGAAAAGCTTTGGCTGCAATGTTGTATGGATGTAATTTGCTTGAATGGTTAATGCATGTGAACATCATGTTTCTCAGCATAGTTTTCTTCTGTTGTGGGTTTTTATGCTTGTAGTTCAGTTCCAAGGGATTTGAGAAATGTTGTGGAGTGTAATATACCAAACCTGAAGTAGAGCCCCCAAATTTTAAACAATTTGGAACGTTTCTGTTATGTTTTGGCTTTGTTTGGAGCTTATATATTTATTTGCAGTTGACATTCCAACATTTTTCTTAAATGGTGACAAGAAGCTAAATGAAACTTCACCT